CATGCCTGTTCTGTACTCTGCATTTGTATTGTAAATAAATGAATATTGCATTTTACGTGCAAACATTTGATTTAAAATGCAAATAATTATGCGTCACAATATGCTACACTTGATGCAAATGAAAAACAATTTTTCCTGACAGGTTTTATTGGTAAATATTCAGCGACGTCGCCCCGTCGACACAAAATTCCAGACAAGAGCAATCGATCCAGAGCTAGCTGCACCTGTGTGAACTCCTCCACCTCACAGGCGGTTGAGTTTGGAGCTAGTCTGTTGAAATAGCTAATGCTTAATCTCTCTTTCACCATGGCAACGTCTATGAAGCTCAATACCGGGGCAGATATGCCCATCGTCGGACTGGGCACATGGAAGGTATGGTCTAACTTCTATGAGAGATCGTGTTACATTATATAAGTGCATTCATTTAGCTGGCACGTTGCATGTGGAATTCACGCCCAAAAGTTTTTTTAAATTGCATGCAATATTGAAATATGAATAGAATAGAAAAGACACTTTCAAAAGAACACGTTTATGTTGCACAGTAATAATGAGTTTGCAAAAAGTGGGAAAGGAATCTTACAGGGCGTAGTTCAGACGAGAGAAGTTGCAAAGACTGTTATGAAAAGTTTGGTTTAACGTTGTGTAATGATGGTAAATAAACGGTAGCAGTCCTCAAAAAATGAATGTCTGTGTCTAGAGAGTAGTTTGGTCATAGTGAGTAAGCAATTTTATCTCTATCAGTCTTTTGCGTGGCTATTAACTGATAACATCCAATACTTCCTTTGTTTGATAGATAAGATGAGGTGAGAGAGAGGTGAATTTATACTGAAGTGACTAAAGAAGAAAGAACATTGTTGTTATTCTCCATATGCAGAATCATATTGGGGAAAAAGCAAAACAGTTTACATTGTGCAGTTATTTGTTTCATTTTGATTTTCTTTCATTTTCCTTTTTTGCCCCTTTCCTTTCCTTTCTATTTTTCTTTTTCCTTTCCTTTCCTTTCCTTTCCCATATCATTTCCATTTTTCTTTTCCCTTTCCTTTCCTTTCTCTTTTTTCCTTTCCTTTTTGGTGATTATATTCTGTCGTTTTCTTTCCAGTCTCCTCCAGGTAAAGTGGCAGAGGCTGTGAAGGCAGCCATCGCTGCAGGGTACAGACACATCGATGGCGCCGCCGTGTACAACAATGAAATGGAGGTCGGAGAGGGAATTCAGGCCATGATAAAAGATGGTGTGGTTAAAAGAGAAGAACTTTTTGTGGTCAGCAAGGTATGCCAGCTTGCACCATTTATCTCAAGAATGTTTTTTTTTTAATAATGGAAGGTCAAGTGCTGATTTAGTAGCTTTGTGATGAAGGAAAACGAATTCATTGCATGTCATTTTGTTTCACAGCTCTGGTGCACCTTTCACGAGAAGGCCTTAGTGAAAGGAGCTTGCCAGAAGACGTTAAGTGACCTGAAGCTGGACTACCTGGATCTTTACCTGGTTCACTGGCCAATGGGCTTTAAGGTGATGTATTAAAAAGTTTTGAGAAAGTCCATATGAAACACCTTCCTGTCTCATTTATTTATAGTATTTATTGTTGATCTTCAAAATGAAAGCTAAAATCTCACTGTGTAACAATAATCAGAAATACATTCATCATTGCTTTTCAGTCTGGGCCAGATCAGTTCCCACTGGACAGTGAAGGGTTAACCATTGGTGATGACACCAGTTTCTTGGACACCTGGGAGGTATGAGGACATGGTTTTGATTTAGCCTATTTGATTTGTGAAGTAAACATTCACATTCCTTCTTAACAAATTAATCTGTTTGACATATTTCTGCGTTCATAACAGCTTTTTACTGCAATTCCAGCAATTGTTTTAGCTGTATTTAATTAAGTGTAATTATGGCATAATGTTTGTTAGGCTATGGAGGACTTAGTGGATGCTGGGCTGGTTAAGGCCATTGGCATCTCCAACTTTAATCGAGAACAAATTGAAGCCATCCTGAATAAACCAGGACTCAAGTACAAACCTGCCAACAATCAGGTCGGTACCGTATACTCTTTAATAGGCATCAGTGTGCTTTCATTTGACAATTACAGACGGCCCAAGAAAGGTCAATATATATCTAATGACCAGCATTTCGCCTACAGCAACTGTGTAATTCAATCAATACTCCTTCAATTTCCTGCTACTTGTCAAGAACAGGCGCAGTTATTTGTCTGGATATAGGCTTAAAATATCATTAGGACACTGCTTGACTTTTAGTCCACAGGCCTAATGCTTGTTATAAGGGAGATTTTGTTATAGGGAGTGCAGTATGTTTTGTTTCATGTATGAATAAAATGGAATATCGAAGTTAAAAAACAGCATTTATATGCAAAAAAAAAAAAAAAAAGGAAAGCA